TCTGAGATGGCCACCGAGAGTTTCTTCAGAGGAGGACTTGAGGGTGGTGAGTGCCTAGCCATCTCCCACGAAGTGCTGAGTCTGCCTTGTTCTTTGCTACTGATCTCATACCTATCACAGCCACACACACACACACACACACACACACACACACACACACTCCACTGCCGCTGAGTCAATTCTAACTCATGGCCACTCCATAAGACAGCAGACCTGCTCCCTAGGGTTTCTGAGACTAGAAATCTTTGTTTGTTTGTTTTCTTAATTTTATTTTATTTTTTATTTAAGTCATTTTATTAGGGGCTCATACAACTCTTATCACAATCCATACACACATCAACTGTGTAAAGCGCATTTGTACATTCATTGCCCTCATCAATCTCAGAGACTAGAAATCTTTACTGGAATGGGTAGCATCATCTTTTTCCTACAGAGCAGCTGATGGGTTTGAACTGTGGGCCTGGTGGTTAGCAGCCCAGTGCTTAACGGTCTTTGCCACCAGGGATCCTGAATACCTCCCAGAAAAGGTTCTCATTTGTTGAATGAATCAGTGAATGGATTATCACTACTTCAACAGTACTTCAAAGGTAGCCGTAGAAAAGGAAACACGGTGTGATTTCCTCTTATGAACTAATAAAGCATTGGGGGTATTTTTACAGTCTTCCAGCCATTTGTCTGCATGTGTTTCTTGCTCATTCAGCTAAGGCTGTGATGTGCCAGACACTGTGGGAGGTGTAGGCCCTCCTCATCTTAATTCTCTCACCACAATATAGACTCCTCACGGGCAGATAGCACATTGCACTCACGTTATCACTGGTAATGCTTACTTAGCCTGGTGTAGGTGCTTACTAAGTACTGACAGAATGCATACTCCTAGCCAAGAAAGCCTACTTCACTGCCATCAGGTGGCTCCCACTCAGGGGGAGCTTATAGGACAGAGTGGAACTGCCCTTTGGGTTTCCGAGGCTATAAAATATTTATGGGAACAGACAGCTTCATCTTTCTCCCAAATAACCACAAGGGAGTTAGAACCACTCACTGCCCAGTGTTAGCCCTGTACACCACCAGGACTGTTCTAACATAGGACAGGACACCAATGTTGGTAGCAACTAGAAGTCTAGAATTGCTACACTTCAAATAGACCAGAATCTTACCCAGTATATTTGTTTTTCTTTTCTCTTTTTTTCAAAAGTTTCATGTTGTACTGAGAGCTTTGGAATATCCCCAAACCAGGAATCTCACTTTTCTCTGTTCAGACAGATTAAAAAGGCAGGGGTGTTTCATAAGGGGTAATATGCTAATTTGAGGGACCTCAAGAAGTTTTTAGAATTAAAAGATAATTGAAATTCCCCACGAACTTTTTGAAGCCCTTTTGTACCCAGGTTAGTAGGCTATGCATTGGGCAGCTAACCATAAGGTCCTCAATTTAAAATTCTCCTAAAGATACAGTTTCAGAAACACACCAGGGCAGTTCTACTCTGCCACAGTTGCTTGGATCAGCATTGGCTCATTGGCAGTGAGTTTTTTTTATTTGAAAGACAGACATGTCAGTTGACAAATGTTGCTGGATAGAGATGCGGTGTTTTTTCTATCTCTACCACTATCTTTTCCTTCCCTCCTAGCCTCCCCATTTATCTATATATATCACATATTAATAATGTATTCTTTGCTAGTGTCAAGCATGAAAATTATTATTAAGGCTTTATTAGAAATCTATTTTTAAAAAGAAAAGAAAAGAAATCTCTTATAGCCTGGGCTGCCCAATGGTCTTAAATCTTGTTTATCCATTTTTTATTAGCCTTCACTAACTACTCTGACTCCAAACCCCCAGAGTTCAATGACTGGCTTGTTAATTAGGCTGGGCCTTTCCCCCCATAAATAGCTGGCGCTGTTGTTAAAATATGACTTGTTCAAGGGGACATGCAGGGGGTGCGGGGAGAAAAAATATGAGCTGATACCAAGGGCTCAAATAGAAAGAAAATGTTTTGGAAAAGATGATGACAACATATGTACAGATGTGTTTGACACAATGGATAGATGTATGGATTTTGTTAGAGCTGTAAGAGGTCCCAATAAAAAATGTTTAAAAAGAAAAAAAAATTTAAATGAACTTCTAGAAGCAAATATATATATATATGACTTGTAATACTGATATTTGTGGTCATATGTGCACATGCTATAATCCATGTTAAATGAAGAGACAACTGCCTTGGTTATAGACAAGCTGGTTTCCATCTGTTCATACACTAAAACGCCTGCCTCACAGGTCACCACGGGAAGACTGCAAGTTCCTGGTAGGCCCTAGTGATGCTGAGGTGAGAAGAAAAGGTTCTGTGTGGTCCAGTAGGCACCAGACAGGGAACCCTTGTCAAATGCCACCCCTGATTGTTATGGAGGGAAAAACAGGCTGCCGTGCCAGGGAGTGGAGGGCCCAGCACCTTAGCTAGGGTGATCACAGGCTGAATTACAGAACGAATGGTTGGTGATGAAGTGAGATTTGAAGGCCAAAAGGACGTGGCTACTGCAGGGCAGAGATCACTTGGGCAGGCACAGCAGAAACGATGTAAAACTCTCCTGTCTTTTGAGCAGAAAGGAGTTCTTTTGGGGCGAGGATGGTTGTGCCTGGGTCCTGTGAGTGAGGTGGCAGCCTAGGGTCGCAACGGCAGTCTGGTCAGGAGGCATCTTGTGTAGTCCACACTCGCCTTCACACTGCGGCCTGTCGGTCTTTGCTACAGCTCAGCAGCGTGGTGTTTTCCTAGTTTCCTATTTAGAGCGTGAGTAGATGGGTCGGAGAGCCTTATGAATGTGGATAGTATTAAGAACCCCACGTTAACTTGTTATTTCACATTGAGTAATTGGAGTTCTGCTTTGGGGCAGCTTTAGCTTCTCTTGGTCACATGGACGTAAACAGTTCAAAGTCAGAGTGCCTGAGCGTGCTTTGGGGGCGTGAGTTTTAATGAGCGTGTCATGTCCTACAGAGTCCTTCTCATTCGGGTATTTTAGGTTCACATTTTAACATTGTCGGCACATCCTAACAGTGACATCATCTGTCCAGATGAATATAGTGTGCAAGCCAATAAGAAATACATAGGTAAGTTCTTCAGCGTCTGGAGGGAAAATAGAAACGTTCCACAATGAGTGTGGGCCCCAAAAGGAGAGGGCTCCAGGAAGGCTGGTCTGGACCATGTTGGGCAATACAAAATGAGGCCTGCCAAGGAGTGGGCTGCAGAAATCTTTGTTGAATGAACAAATGAAAAGGCCCTGAACAGATATATTTAGCAGTGTGGGAATGCTGCGATTTTTCTTTCATACATATTTTAAAAATAAGTTTTTAATTATTTTTCGTATTTACTAAATACCTATATTTAGCAAATTAGTAGGGTTATAGCTAAAGGAAACTCGAAAGTTTTTAACTTCTTAAAAAATGATTAGGAGGATGCTGGGAAACGATTGGCTTTCATCCCAGAATCAGAGTGTTTGCGGTCCTTTGGCCTCGGGTTTACGACTGGCTGTTTCCTCTGCCTTTTTTCTAGCTGCCTGGCCTTCAGCGTGTTATTTAACTTCTCTTTATGTCTCTGCTTCCTCATTTCTAAAACGGGGAAAATCGTAGAACCTGCCTTTTAGGTTTACTGTGTTAGATCAGTGAATTTGTGTAAAGCACGCCCAACAGTGTCAAGTCCATGGTAAACTTTGTGTGTGCTAATTGCCCCGTGTTTCATGGAGCCACCGTCAAGAACCTTGATGTCTCAAATGATCATTGGACATGTAAAACTTATTATGACATTCTTGAAGTATAAAATACCTACTTGGGTTTTTGTGTTACTAAGAACTTTAATGAGATAAAAATTCATATACTATAAAGTTTACCTTTTAAAATACATAGTTTAGGGGATTTTAGTACTCCACAGAGTTGTACAACCATCAATACCATCTAATATTACACTATTTAAACTGCCTCCCAAAAAATTTTAGAACATTTAGGTCATTTCAGTATTCATTAACAATCTCTGCTCATTCTCCCCTTCCTTCAGCCCCTGGCAACCACTAGTCCAGAATCTGTTTCTGTACGTTTGCCTATTCTGTGTGAAATGGTACAACATGTGGCCTTTTGTGTCTGGTTTAGTATCATTTTTTCCACTTTCATCCATATTGTAATGCATGTCAATACTCCATTCCTTTCTATGCACTAATGACATGCCTTACATGAGTACACCACATTTTGCTTACCCTTTTATCAGGTGCTGGGGATTTAGGGTGCTTCCATTTTTATACTATTATGGATATTGGTGCTCTGAGAATTCATGTACAAGGTTTGTATGGATGTATGTTTTCAGTTCTCTTGGGTATATACCTAAGACTGGAATTCCTGACTCAGCGACAACTTTCTATTTAACAGTATGAGGAATTGCCAAACTGGTTTTGAAAGTTCCTGCCTCGTTTTAGACCCCCAACAGCAAAGCAGGAGGCCTGCAACTCCCACACTCTCACCGACTCGCGCCTTGCCTGCCTGCTTTACTCTGGCCCTTCCCAGCGCCTGTGAGCCTACTGAGGGTTGCTGCAACTGTAAATGTGTACAGTTATTTGTCTCTTTATTGAGTTGTAATTTTAAAAAGAAAGCCTAAATGCAAGTACATTATCAACTACGTGATTTACAAATATTTTCTCCCCTTCCATGGGTTATCTTTTAATTTTTTTAGTGATTTTCTTTTAGATTTTAATGAAGTCTATTTTTCTTTTGTTCTTTGTACTTTTGGTTTCATATCAAAGAAATCATTGCCAAATCCAAGGTCACAAGATTTACTCCTCTGTTCTCTGAGAGTCAGAGGACTCTCCTTTTTTATTTCCCTTTTTATTTCCTTAACGTGCTATAATTGAAGGCAGATAATTAAATGTAAACTTAAGTTGGGTTTTTTTTCCCAGAAAATAAATACTGAACACGTTAAATATAATTTTAAATCCTGGAAAATATAATTGTCCCTGTCTTTTCTGTGACATTAAAGACAACCGAAACCACTCTTGGAACGCCACCAGACAGGAGTGAAGAGACCAGCGGCTCTTTCTTGAACCCTTCGTTAGTGTCATCGGACTGTTCCCCAGCAACCTTGAAGAAGAGAACAGACGACGCGAGCGACCTTCCCTACGAGAGCCAAAGAAGCATTCCGCTGGCTGTGACCGATGCCTTAGAACATATTATGGAACAGCTCAGTGTCCTGACGCAGGTGAGAGGAATGCTCAGTGCGGTAAGAAATGTAAAGTATCCCTGCTCTGCCTATTCTTGGCACGATAGATATAATTTAAGGGAAGTGGTACATTAAAAAGGATGCACCAGAACTTTCTTTTCCAACTCTGCTGATATTAGTCAGAGTGGACATTGTCACAAGTTATACAGTAAGAGAGCTTAGATGAGCTACTGAGATGTCATTTGCTTGTTCAGAATGAATAATATCTCAAGTCAAAATGGCTCTTACAGAGAAATCATCCACCTCGGTCCTCACCCGAGACTGCATTCTAATCACCTAGCTGGTAATAAGGCGCATGCAGACGCCTAGTGTTCACCTCCAGAGAATTCATTTCCTTTGGTCTCTGTGGGGCAGGTCCTGGCTTCACTTCCTTAAGCAGCCCCAGGGTTTGAAGTGCTAGTTGAGTGACTAACAGAGTCATTCCCGAGGGCGTTGGAGTTGAGAGTCATCTTCATGGGCTTGGGTCCTGATAGATCATTGGGCTGTGTGAAAACATGATGTCATTATAAGATGTGTTCAGTAGAATTCATTTTCAAATGACCAAGTTACATTTCCCAGGGTTGCACTAGCAGTGACTGTCTCTGAACCAGACATTTCCACGGTTAAGGGCGTTTCACCTCTTTGCTTCATGGTCAAGTTTCATGTTGTTTGGCTTGTTTCTTCTATTTCCATGACTTCCTCACCTAAATTGCCACCTTTTGATGCTGGGTCCTCATCAGGGCTCTAGGAAACACGTCTTTTTATTCTCTATTCTTTCTGCCGCGTGGCCCCATCTCCTTGTTATCTGACTCAAGGGCAAACAAATCACGTTAAGCATATTGAGCTCATCTGTGACTTCTTTATTTTTTATTTTAAAGGGCTGACTTTCTCTCCTATATTAAAGAGGTTACAAGCAGCCACAGCACACTGGCAAGACTGGAATAGTGAATCAGCCTGTAGGAAAGTGGCAAGTGAAATAAATGTGTTCTGATTCACTTTAATTATAGATGACGTAACATCGCCTGATTTAGTGGAAGCGTGTTTATAACTACCTTTACTGAGCTATAATTAGGAATAAATTAAGCTGAAATTACATTTTTGATGGTAGCTAAGTGGAGTTATCAAGTGTTAAGGTGTGTTATCGTCAGCTTTAGCATATAGAACTATGATAATGAATGTAAAGTAACTGGAAAATGCTTAAAACATATAATAGTCACTCAACAAATGGTGGAAGAACGTATCATCAATATTACTATTACGTTTAATTAGTCTTGTTCTGTAGTATAATAGGAAAACAAAAGGTATTAAGCAATGATATTTTTCAAAAGTTGGTTACCTTTAGAGGATAATATGGAACCAGTTAATTACCTCGAAACTTGGTGACTACACTTTGAACTGTACCAAGGGAAAACCCATTAGTAGATGAGGGAAGTATCTCATATTTATACTTTACCCCAACTAACAAAAGAAAATATAGATGGTATTAGAACATCATCATTTGTCATCCCTTAGTAAATCTAGGCAGTGGGCTGCCAACTGCAAGGTCGGCAGTTCAGACCCACTGGCTGCTCCATGGGAGCCGCTGTCTGCTCCTGTGAAACATGTATAGTCTCAGAAACCCTATTGAGTAAGTTCTGTTCTGTTAAATAAAGTTTCTATGAGTTGGAATCAACTCAGTGGTTGTGGGGTTAGTGGTTTGTTTTTGTTTTTTCAGGGATTGAGTAGTTACTAACGTCCCAAAAGGAAATGATCAGCATCATAAATGCATCTAATTAGACTCCCTAATTCTAAGGGATCTAATCTGAGTCTGAGCGGGCCACTGCATCTCTCGGTCAGTATGGAGAAGTCACATGTTTTACATGCAGTGTTTCCTCCAGTCCTTCTAAGAACCCTTTGAGGTGCTATTACTATTCTCTGGTTGATGCAATTCGTAGTGATCACTGGACTCTTTCAAAGTAAATGAGTTAGTCAGCTCTCTGGTCCAGCATGGATGAGCTATGGCAGAATGCCCAGTGATGGCGTTTTAAGTAGCACCTGGCCTGGGAACGTGCACTGTTCCTCCCACTCCCACTTTCACTCTCCTGGCACTTCTGAGAAGACTGCAAGTATTCTCGGCTCTGACTTGGACACTTCAGGAGATCGGACGTAGGAATTGTCTGCAGAGGCCATTCTTGGGGGCATCCATTTTTTTTCTTTTCCTCAACCTCCTTACCAGTGTTCTGCTCTGTGAGAAGGCACAGAAGCAGAGCCGGTGGTGGGGCCCATGTCTGGGGCCCGGTGGCTGTTCCCATGCTGAGAAAGGGTCTGCTGTGTGTTGTTGGTCTCCTCCAGTAACGACGGCCATGCCTCCTCCTTGCAGACGGTTTCCATCTTGGAGCAGCGACTGACTTTGACAGAGGATAAGCTGAAAGACTGCCTTGAAAATCAACAAAAGTTGTTCAGTGTCTCCCAGCAGAGAAGTTAAACAGAGAAGTGTGTGCAGAGGTACGATATCGTTGCACCCGTACGTATATTCAGGAAGGTCATAGAGGATGCCTCATGCAACACTACGATGCACGAGTTAAGGTGTTTCTTCAAAGCGTGAGCAGCAGAGCAAAAGACCTATTTAAGACTGAGTTGAACACCCAAATCAATGACAAGGACTAATTTGAAATACGACCATTTATAGTTAGAGTAATAAAGTGATAAGCATTCAAGTGACTGTATTTACCCCCATATTATTTAAGATGTCACTTTTCATTTCTAGTTCAAATCTTACCAAGAAACAAAGAAAACCCCTCTGGATTTCATTGCTAAGTCATTTCTGATTGACTGTTTTGAGGCAATTCCTTTAAGGGGTTACGGTATTTCTTCAGTGAACAGCACCCTTCCTATAAAAGAATTATTTTAACTCTAAAATAGCAATCTGTGTGCAGAGAATGAGTTATTTGATACTATAAAGGAAAATATTTTTACATATACTGATCATTTCTTTAAATGTTGTTCTTGTAAAAATCCCAAAGCCACACAATTTCCATAGCAAGAATACACTTGTTTCTTTTAGAAGAAACAGTGCTTGTGTGGCGTAGGATAGTAGGGTTTTACTTAGTTTGTGGTGTACACTTTTTTATCCTTTGGCCAACCTGAAGGAAAATGAGTTAAAGATGAAAATGAAGCCGATGTATCTTGTTATTAACCGGTGAATGCACTGAATGATTTGGGTTGTGTCCAGTTCTGTGATCATGGCTCAGAGAGATTATGTTTGTGTGATTTCAGCATGTGCAACAGCCAGAATGACATAGCAGTGGTACTGTCCAGTATACACACATGTATGTCCGTTATTGCTTAGGGTGATCTGGGTAAGCACTTGAGAAAAATACTGTTTGCATCCTATTGTCTTCCCTTTTAAAATGAATTGTGATTTAAGACAACCTGAAAATAAGTTAGGAATCCTAAAAGATCTTGGTTACAAATTAAGAATCTTGTTTTAAAATAAGATCAACTTGACGAAAAACAGGCAAATTCGTTTTAGCTTGCATTTCTTTTAACTGACATCAAGAACAGAGAACATGCTAGAAACTAATCCACATTTATACTGTCTATGAGTAACTAGAGGGACATGCTATCTATGTTTTGGAAAAAAAGAAAAAAACAAAGTACTATGTGTGTGAGTCTACATTTAGAAACTTTTCACAGCAATTTCAGTCCTATCTGAGGTGGGTTATGTAAATGTTATCCTTATGTGTTGTGCCTTTTTGTATCAAAGTATGAATTTTTAGACATGTTCAAGAGCTTATAAAGAGTAAGTCACATTGTATTTTTATGAAATGAAATGTCATACCAATTTTTTACTCTTTTTTGTGCTTCAAACAATAAAGAATTTTTTACCTTTATAAAAAGTCGTCTTATTCTTCAAATGACTAAAACCTGAAACTACCAAATTCCTTATCTTCTAATGCACTGGGCCCTTAAAGTGAATCAGGATCTGTGGGAGAATTTGCCAATCATAATTTCCACACCCCTAGTACCAGAGACTGTCCAGTCACCAAACCAGAGGCCAGGCCCGATGTGCATTTCTAACCATCACTCTGAGAAGCATGCCTTATGAACTAGTTTTTAAGGACCCTTGGCGATACGGGGTGAGCATTGGACTGCTAACCACAGGGTCCAAAGTTCAAATCCACCAAACATATTCTGCAGGAGACAGATGAGGAGATCTGCTCCTATAAAGATTCACAGCCTTGGAAACCCTAGAGAGTGGCCGTGCATCGGACCGCTTGCTGGTCGTGGGCTCAGTGAGAACTAGTTTAGGCCCTCCTTACATATGCTGCCACAAAATTTTAGTTTCTAACCTTTCTAAGAGATGTGAAAAGTGATCGTATAAGTTAAAATGTTGCCGGAGAGTCCCCTCTCCCCCTTTTGCAAACCTTAGAGGACTCTCCTTTGTCCGCATCAGATTCCAATTGCTCCCTTGCCTCGCTGCCTGACCAACCTCTCCACTCAGACGTCTAATAGTCTCCTTCAACTAGAGTCTAAGCCCAAACTCCCCTCACATCCTGACTGCCCCCACCCGCCTTCCCTCCAGCCGCTTCCTATTCTCTATTCCTCTAAATATCAACTCTCCATCCATTGCTCAAGCTGAAGATCTTCGACTCCTTTCTTTCACACCCCGCGTTCCAGACCTTCTACAGATCTTGGCAGGACAGATGGACCCCTGACCATGTTTCACCGCCTCCAGAGCTACTACCTGGATGACTTTACTGCCTCCAACGAGTCTCCCGAATGGCCTCACCACATGCCAGCTGCTGCTCACGTGGCCCTAGTAAGGGGTGGTCCTTCCTTGAGTGCTCTGTGTCAAATGGTAACCCTCCCCACACTGCTTACCAGACTTTGTGGGCCCTGCTGCACTCCCTACCTTCTGATAGAGCATGTGTTGGTTTAGGCATATACCACCTCCTCAAGAGTAAAATCCCTGAGGGAAGGCCTCGCCTTTTGATCCTGGATGGATCTCCAGAGCTGAGAGCAATGCCACTTGTAGGTACACCGCGTTTGTTTTGTGAATAAATGGGAGCAATTCCTTAACCCCCCTTCCACTGACGTGGCCGCCACGACGGGACCAAGGCTGAGACTCGGTCAGACCCTCCTCAGTACCA